CTACGTTATTCACGTAGCTGAATTTGCGTACCTTACTTCGATTTGGGGGGTAAGTGTAGACCAGCCCACAATTTTATTGTCTTGACTATACCAAGAAAAATAGGGAGCAGACTATAGTAAGAATCCAGGTATATAATTCATTTTCCAGTTGTATCATTGCCTTTCTATTTCCTCTGTAAGCTTATGTGTGGATTTTTTTAAACAATGAATAACTTGGGGTTGCAATGTTCTATGCCTCTTAAACCCTACCTAAATGTGGTGGTGGTTGTTTTTTTAAAGAAAAGCTGAATAGCATGTGTTCCAATCAATCTCTTATTTTGTACAGGAATTCTTTATTTCTAGGCAATGTAGGGAAAAAATGAGAGAGATTTAACTTTGAACATAAACTTTTTTTTAAAAATGAGCACAAGTGTCATCTTGTAGAAGGGGGTAGATAAGCTTCTTGTGCTAAATGTACTTTCAGCACTGACAGTATTGTATGAAGCTGAGATTACTGATATTAATGCTTAAAGATTTAAATATTTTGATAGCTTTAGCTAGTAATGTACACTTGCAAAGCATGTTGCTTAGTAATGGTATTCACTAACTCCAGCTTTAATCTCTCTAGTGGTGGTTTTTGTGGCCGTTTATTTTTTTCCCCCCTGTACATGTCATGGGTTGTTTTCTTTGTCATTTCCTGTGACCTATTGCAGCTCCATTTGTGAATATTTAGGCTTGGAAGGATTCTACGTTTCTCTGTAAACATCAATTTCACTGTCTGTACGCACAAACTGATGAAAAAATATTTCCATCAATGATTGACATTTACAGATAGGCAAAGTAAGAAAAATGCTGCTTGAGCATTTACTAGAGTTTGATTTAAGGATATTTACTTTGTATATTTTCACATGTAACGTTGACCCCTTTCCCCATAATTTTGTGCAATTGTGAAAATTTAAATAGATAAAAATAGAAAAATGCTTAAAATAAACATTGATATTCTCTGTCAATTACAAAACAAAATATTAAAATTGAATTCTGTGAATAGTCCCTGGAAGTTTATAACCTCATGTGCCTTAAGCATCATTTAGATATACTCTTGCCACTTATAAAGATAAGTCTTTGGTAGGTCCAGAGATAAAAGTGTGTGTTCTCTAGCAATGACTCTTCAGCTAACAGATCTCAGAGCCTGACCGCTGAAACATCATAAAAAACCAAACTGAGCTTGGAGCATCTGCACGGTTTTGTTTCAAAGAACTAGGAAGCGTTGTTTCACGTGTTTGCCATTGACTAACAGAACTTGTATGGCCTTCAGTAATACAGATGGCTTTAACATTTTTGAACCTTGACTCCCACAAGTGGTGTGCTTGCCTTACCGCAGTTTGGAGATGTGGTTAAAACACCAAAATCCCATCAACAAAGCAAGACTAAATGTGCTAGAATCAAGTCTCCTGATAGGGTTGTATTTGTAATGAAGATTGGACTTAAGTTATATAATTCCGTGACTGTATACATTCATGCATCCCATATATGTAGATGTGATTAACTCATTTTACCATGCACCTTTGACTGCCCTCTGGCATTCCTGACATTTCCAAAACCCCAAGCAGTTTCATACAGCTGCCGTCAACCCCCTGTATTGTTTAAGAAGGTAGTGCTTCTATTATACCAAAAACAGGCACGTTATTCAGCTCGTGCTGAGAACTTTTATAGCGCTCCATGGAGGGGGAGAAATTGTCTAATACAAAGGCAAGATTGTTTTCCATCTGGTGGCAAAGCTCTAGAGCGCAATAAGCCATCAGTTTGCCCTATCCACTTGATAGGCTGGCTGCATGTATGGCCTGTACTGTGCTAACAGGGGAGTTCCTCATAGTTCATGGGCAGCAACTCTTGTCAGGTGAGCCAATGGACTCCTTTTCTTGAAGTGGCTGTTATGTCTGGCTTTATAATGATTAACTTCCTCTGGGTATAAAGCAAGTTTCTGAGGAGTTGTGCACACTTTTGCAGTAAACTGGCTACCAGGGGCAGGGCTTAAATTCAGCCGGAGCTGCCCGGAGCAGAGTTCCAGTAAATATTTTCAAACCCGCAGGGCTGTGAAGCCCCAAGCCCTGTCATGTCCCACAGGGCTAAAGCCCCAGGGCTCTGGAAAATACTGAGAATTTAAGCTCTGACTGAAGGTGATGGTTTCCCAACGCCTGTACCCTAGAAGGGGTTAGAAGTGGAGATCTTAAAGAGTAGAGGAATAATTATCATTAGAAACAATAATATGTGATGCTGACACAAAAGAGCTAGGTACAGTGTGGGCTGTGACTTATTATAAATATACATTGTAATATAAATGTGCCTTATTAGCCTGTCGCAAATTGGTAGGGAGGAGGCAAACGAGCACCTAGCACTCTGGAGAGAGTGACTGTATATTTAATTGCTAATGGACCTTTTTAGAGTCTGGGCTCCTATTATTAGAAAACGAAATGTAAGCTATTACCTACAGGATTTGGAATGAGTCTGTCATGCTGCTGTTGACCTTCAATTTCTCACATTAATTTGTTTTAATACTAGTGAGATTTACCTGCTGTGTAAAGATTTACTTAAGCAATACATTTTTCAGTAAGACCTCCAGAGTGCCACCTTCTCTTGGATCACAGAATTTTTAACAGATCTGGATGTTTCTGTAACAGCAGCTAGTGATTAATTGCATTAAACCCTTAAGAAATGTGGCAACTCTGAGGCCATGTGGGTTACCACGCTGCAACAAACATCCGGGGTGATTCATGCCCATTCTGGGCCCGTGGATGTCCAAGTTGTTGTAGCTGTCTAAAGATGTTAAAAAATAAGGAGCACAATTTATGTATATAAATATATATTCGCATTTTATAAAGGAGGGAAGAATGGTTATCCTTGTTTCTCAGATGAAGAAACTGAGGCAGGGAAAGTGCCCAAGGTCACCCAGCAGAAGAACCAGGAATAGAACCCAAGTCTCTGGAGTCCAGTGCAATGATCTAGCCACTAGGCAGCATTACCTACCCTATGACTAATGTAGTGATGTGTAGATCTCAGGTAAAATTTTCAAAAGTGGCTAAGTCCCATTTTCAAAAGTCACTTAGATACTTTTGAAAATGTTACCTCTAGACCAAAGTCACTGTTTAATATGATTAACATGGAAAAGATCTGTATTAAAGTGCCCTTTAAATACACTGGCCCTTAACCTGGGTATATAATTCCTATTTAACATCAGTGAGCATTCAGAGTATATGTTGAGGAGGAAATCCACTTCCTAGAAACAAATGAGTCCAAAGTCCTGCAATATCAGTAGGGCTTTACAGTAATTTGCATAAGGGATGTTCCTTTGCAAGGTGTATCTGATGTAGAGCTGTGGGAGGAACCAGCAGAGAGTTAACTGCTTGTGGAAACAACTTGTCTCAGTCTAGAGATATGAAGGTCGGTGACGGCATACCTAACAGTGACATATAAGAGGGAGCAATTCTTCATTTTATATATAATTTATTTATTTCTTCACTGGCTCTCAGCGGTGGCATTCCATGAATACAAGTAACTGGCATCTTGGTTCAGTTTCAAAGTCAAACTTAGCCCCCCCCACCCTGCAAAGACTTGCACATGTGCATAACTCTGAGCATGTGTAGTCCCAGACTACAGCTGGCCAAAGGGTGCTAGGTGTCCAAGTCCCATGGGATACAAGCACCTAATTCCTGTAGGCTCCTTTTTAAAATCCCAGCCTACTAGTGCTTTAAAAATATATAGAATGCAAAATAATCTGGTTTCCCCCACCCACACCCCTATTTTTGCTGGACTAACTTTTGGAGGACCCAGGGAATTGGAGTGGGTGCCCTTAAGTGAATTAGTGGGGGGGTTTGAAGCATTAGCTTACACTGAGCTTTCCACCCAACTGTTTTTAAGTTATTAGAGTTAAATAGTTCTTTAAAACACTAAGTTTGAAAGTCTGACTAAAAATCAGTTTTGCTTTCATATAATCAGGGCTCACAAACTTGGTCTCTGTAACATTATAATCCTGCTAGTTCCTCCGATGTCAGTCTTCCAGGGTAGATAAGACCTGAATTTCTAGTAACGATTGTTACAAATGGCTGTTTTTAAGACGCTGAAGTTTTCTTCTGGTCAAGAGTAGTTCCTTGTTACTTCAGCTGGGTGACAAAGCTGTTAGTCAAACCACACTTGTTTCATTATTTCTCCTATATAATGTCCTCTTAGTAAGGGGCTTCTTTAATTTTACAAGTGAAGATTAATCTTCGGCGTTTGACTGGTTCTTGTGTTTTCAAAGCGTAGAGAAAATAACTGAGCATCCACAAGGATAGACCACAGCTCCCGGTATATGCAAACGCGTATACCAGCACTGCTGTGTGCTGGAAGAGATGTCTGGATAACAACAAAACTGGAAAGCATACAAAAATGTATCTGGCTAATGACTTGTAGTAATTGTTGTACTGTGGAGGGGAGATTTGGACCCAAAATCCTTCTTCCTTTCAACAAATAAGCAAATAGCTACTACTAAGTCGTGCATTTCTACTGAGAGGTTATATTATTATCTGACCAGTGAAAATCTGTTCCCTACCTACCTTTCTTGGTAAAGGACACTACGGGAAAAGGACATTGCAGATAGATGAATATTGGAGACCAGAGATTTCCAGTTGCGCACGATGGGGACATACACGCCCAGTTGTGAACAGGAGTCAGTTCTGCCCTAGTTGACACTCGCTGTCGAAGGCAGGTTGTGGTTCCAGACAAGTGTTCCTGCAGCTGGCTCTCTGTAACACTATGTAACGCTGGTTAGAGGTGTGCAATATTTTATGCTTTAGGAGAAGCTCTGTGCATTGAGTGTTTGCAGGATCAGACCTTACAAAAGTAACCCTTTAAATGCAACTCTGATGCAAATACCAGCATGCCGATGGTGTTTCCAGGAGAGGGATATGGCTGCTGCTTCCATTTACTCTGCAAGTCTTGCCGCAAACTTGTATGTCTCCTGACTGGTCTTTCTCTTCCATGGACAGGGTAGCGAAATCCAGGACGGTGCCTATTTGGACGGTGAAAGCGCGTACAGTGAGTCAGAGCTGTTTCCTGATGAAGACACGATGACCCTGGCCCAGCAAGAGGTCCACCATGAGTCCGACATGGACAGTGCCATCGAGAGCGCACAGAGCTCTGAGGCATCGGACGTGTGTGGCACTGAAGAGAAGGACAGCGTGCTCAGTGGACTCTTTCTGCCTGTAGACAAGTGAGTGGTGAGGTGCCTGTCAAGACATGAGTCTTTTGCAGGGGAGGGGAGGGGAGGTTAAACCAGCTGATCGCTCTTGTTTGAGGCCTGTCTGGGTGAGGTTCTTGGACACCTGGAATTAGGTGTCCAGATCCCTCTATTTAAAATGAATGGGATTTGGTCATCCATCTTCCCTCGTAGCCGTGGAAATCTCAGCCCTTGTGTCTTCTGGCTTGTTCGCCTGCTCCAGTAGGGTTAACGCGTGTCCATGGCACCTCGGCTGGGATAGAGTCACATTTTATAGTGATAGTTCTGGCTGAGTTCTGATGGAGTTTGATCACTGCGCTAATTGCCAAAAGCGGGTGGATTTTTCTTGTTCACCTTCCTACCTCCTGGAGCCCATTTGCCTGAGGACTCCAGTGTGACTCCACCACAAAGCAGCGGAGCGTGCAGGTCCTTCTTCAGCCTTAGTTACTCTTCCATCACGCTCAAAGGATGTGAGGGCCAGGCTGAACAGGCTTTGCAGGTGTAGGTGAGGAGCGTTGCGTTGCCATCCTGTGTGGTGGATTCCCCCTGACATATCAGGAGGCACCGTTCAGTTTGTTGGCCCAGGCCTGCGATGTTAAAAAGTCATGTCAGGCACCCAGAAAAGGAGGATCAGGCAATTAGTGACCACCTGTGAAAAGTTTGGGGTAAGTGACTTGCCCAGCATCGTGTAGAACCTCAGAGGCAGAGATAGAATCCAACTCTCCAGGGCAGTATTCAACTGCCTTAATCACGACCCTCCTTTCTCTTCCCATGCCTCATTCGCTGCACATCTGCCAATCATAGACTATGGGAGGGATGGGGTTAAGGTCCCAACCACTGAAGTATTTCAGGAGTTGTAGGTCTAGATAACAGAAGAGGAGCAAGGTCTAGGCCTCCAGTAAATTCTGGTTATGGGGAGCAGTAGGCCTGGAGAAGAAGGATGATCCCGTGGTTAGGTTGCTAGCTTGGAGCACCTGGGTTCAAATCCCTGATCCACCACAGACTTCATGAGTGACCTTTGGCAAGTCGCTTAGTCTCCTTGTGCCTCCGTTCCCCCTCTGTAAAATGGGGATAATAGCCCTGCCCTACCTTGAAGTGGGGATCTGAGGGTAAAGACTGAGGTGCTCAGAAGCTATGGTAATGGGGGACCAGATGAGTATCTAAGAAAGTAACTGCAGCTGTTGTGTCTATCACGAATTTTGGTCCCCAGAACCCTTCCATGCACAATCCTTACTGCAACCTTTAAGAACAGAAGGTGTTAAAATACTTTGCTGACTAGTTACTAATCTGCCCCTCTTCAGGGAGTAATAATCTGATAGATCTCCTCTAGCAGAATATAAGCCTGCCTATGTGCATGGTCCCAAATGTCCTCTTGTCCCGTGCAAGACTTGAGTTGCCCTAAATTCTTGCATTGTAAATTACTGACCATAGAAATATGAATTACAAGTGCATCTCAGCAACGGAAGGAAAAACAAGAGCCTACATCTGAAATACTGGCAGGGGGCAGGATGTGAAAATGACATTTGTGCCATCCAGCCACCGTTCACGTTAAAATGTTGCTTTGTTTAAACTTTAGATTCCAGAAGAGACCAGCTACAAATTAACGGGCCCTGCTTGTGAACTCTCTCGCAGAGGAGTCTAGCTTCTTGTAAAAACAGCAGTAATACAGAAACAGCCGTGTTGTCTAGGAGACTTGAAATGGGAGCCTGACTCATTCCGGCTCTGCCACTGACTTGTCATGTGACCGTCAGCCTTATTTAACCCTGTTCTCTACCCCAATTTTTTAAAGTGCTTCCTGAGCCCTTAGGTCATCTTTATGTGTTGGGACACCCTCCGCACCAGAGTAGGAAGCTCGTGAACGGCAAGGGAGCGTGAGGCATTGAAAACGTTATTACAATCTAAAGTAAAGAATCTTGTTTCACTTATTACCCCATCATCCCTTGCCCTTCAAGCTCAGTTGTCCTGTCAAACTCTCAAAACACAAACACCCACTGTTATATAGGTTCATTGCTGTAATTGGGGATAGTTTTTTAGTAATGGAAGTGGATCATGAAAGCTTTTGACTTTGAATAAGGAGTTGCCAACCCAAGCCAGCTGAGAAACGCTGCCTTGGGCAAAAAGCAGTCTTATGAGGCGGGTTGGCCGCCTACCCATTCTGATGTCTTGTTTCAGGTCAAGTCCTCACAACCCCTCTGCAGCCTCTGACCTCTCCACCTATTCCACTGCCTCTCTAATCAGTAACGAGGAACAATTTGAAGACTATGGGGAAGGAGATGATGTGGATTATACTCCCAGCAGTCCATGCCCTGATGATGAGACCAGAACCAACGCCTACTCTGACCTTGGCTCATCTGTGTCTTCCAGGTTGCTACTTGTTCTTATTTATTTTGACAGTGTTTTCTTCTGAGCACGTGTACAGGGGGCCATACCAGAACTTCTTGGGATTGTCTAGTTATTTTAAAACTAAAATTCCAATTTCTGCCCACAACACAACTGGCAAATGTCTTTCTTGTAAAAGCCATAGCAACAACTACGTTGTTTCCAGTGTCCGTAATGTCAGGTCACGCTGCAATAAGCCCTCTCGCTTTGCTCCTAGATTGATTCTCTTTATATATTGCAATACTTTGGATTTTGCAACTATTAGAAATTGACTGACTTAAAGCCGGAAATCAGATTAGACCTTGAGCAATGTTCGTGCTTGTGCAATGTTTGGGGATGACTAGTATGAAAGTCTCCTTCCTTTTTAGCATTCTAACACTGTGTATTCAATATTACCTTACACAAAGACATGTCTTGTAAGGATGGATGAGCTTGTTTTGGGAAAAAAATAAATAAGCAGATTGAACCTGAATGTCTTAAATCTCTTCAGGAAGTACTCACTCTTTAGTACACACAGACAGACAGACTGAACTGCGATCAGCTGATCCTGTCTTTTCCCATTACCCTGGGCTCAGAGAATCGGACTCTTGGAGGTTCTGATAGCATAGACCAGTGGTTTTCACCCCCGTAGGAGTATGTGAGCTCATTGGGGGTACACAAGAAAAATCCTGTAATAGCAGACAACACATTTTATTTAGTCAGACTTGTCAAGCTAATCATGGGTATATTGTGACCCTATCTCAGATAGGGGTATGCGGCAGACTGCATTATTTGGAAAGGGGTACGGATCCTAAAAAGTTTGAAAACCACTGGTGTAGACAAAGCAGAAATCATTTGCTCTTTTAGAATCCCTCCTCCAAGTGGGATTTGGTATTGTGGCAATTAACAGCATATAGTTGTTCCAGAGCCCATTGGGATCCCCATCTTTGCTCCTGTAGCTGGCCTTGACAGAGCAGCTGTGATGGGAGTGGCAGTGCGTTCCCAAGTCCACTTACTGCAACGGGACTATTTATGAAATACCAGCAAGAGGGAAATGAATTTGAATTCGTAACAATAGCCAGTAACATATCTCCTTTCCCGCAAACAGCGCTGGGCAAACGCCAAGGAAAATGAGGCACATTTATAACAGCGAGTTATTGGATGTCTACTGCTCACAGTGCTGCAAAAAAATAAACCTGCTTAATGACTTGGAAGCGAGGCTGAAAAACTTGAAAGCAAACAGGTGAGTAGCCAGCACTCTGTTCTCAGCAGTCTCTTTTGAAATGGGGTTAGCCAGCAGTCAAAGCAACAGCTACTAAATGAGAAGGGGAAACTGCAGTAATATGCCCCATCCTTTTTCTGGTTTACTTACATCCAATATATCACATCTAGCTAGTATCAAATGCAACAAGCAGTTCTTCTATGCTATTCTGCAACAAGGACATTAAAACCTTGCTATCTTGTCTGATCTTAACAAGAACTTCTCCCTACTATCAAGAAACTATTTCTCAGTTGGAGCACTAATGTCCTCTTCGTTTTAAATACTTAAACAATGAGATCTTGAATTGCAGCGTGTGGGTGGTATTTGCCTGTGGAACAACCTCCCCAGGGAAGTGGGAAGCCCTACTGCTCAGCACCCGTGGATAAAACACTGTTACTTGGCTGAGATTGTTCTCTGTAGCACGTTTCTATCACGGAGGGAGATGAGTTGATCTAATGAGTCTCTGGGATGGATCCTCAGCTAGTGTAAAGTGTCATAGCTCCATTGCTGTGGTCATTGATGTCAATGGAGCTATGTTTACACCAGCTGAGAATCTGCCCCAGGATCTCTAGATTCTGTGGCTTGATTCAAGTGGCTTGAGGATTTTATTCACCTAAAACCAGATTTGGGAAAACAATGCAACTTTAAAACCAGGATGATGGTGACTTCTTGTATCTCCTCAGGAGTTCTAGCTTTTTCCTTTATACCCCTATTCCCGTATTACCACCCACATGTAGATAGACAATTGCAAAGGATTTTCCTTAAACTCTGAAAGAGTCTAAATATTTCTGCAAATCCCTTGCTTATTGTGGCAATTCATCTGTAAACCTTTAGCTCCCCCTAGAAACTGAATACAAAGCTTGCCTTGTTTCATGTTCCCAGGAACCAGAACATAATGCACTTCATCTAGTCTTGATAAGAAAACAATGGCATAGTATATGTTATGAAACAGTTACAGCTGCTGTCACAGCAGTAGGTAACCTGCTAAAATGTAAAACATGATGGTTGCATCTTCGACAATTTTGTTATGAAATTTGATGTTGCAACTGACAGTCCTGAATTCAGAGTAGCGTTCTGCTTTGACAAAAGATGTGCAATCAGTCTCTGATACAGAGCCATGCATGGCTCTGTATCTTGGGGTAGGGGCAGCTAGTGGATTTGCGTGTGTGTGTGTGTGTGTGTGTGTGTGTGTGTGTGTGTGTGTGTGTGAGAGAGAGAGAGAGAGAGAGCTGCAGCAGATACTGTACTACAGTTTCATTTTGATTCAAGCTGGCAAAAATCTGTTTAAATGTGACAGGGCTTTTTGTACTGAATATAGTATTCCCAAATTCATTTTATTAGTGATCACAGTAGCTTATGGCACTACACCCAACTTCATGTTACATAAGAACAGCCATACTGGGTCAGATCAAAGGTTCATCTAGCCCAGTAGCCTGTCTTCTGACAGTGGCCAATGCCAGGTGCCCCAGAGGGAATGACCAGAACAGGTAATCATCCAGTGATCCATCCCCTGTCACCCATTCACAGCTTCTAACAAACAGAGGCTAGGGACACTATCCCTGCCCATCCTGGCTAATAGCCATTGATGGACCTATCCTCCATGAACTTATCTAGTTCTTTTTTGAATCCTGTTATAGTCTTGGTCTTCACAACATCCTCTGGCAAGGAGTTCCATTAGTTATTAGAGTAGTTTATGATTAAGTTGTATGAGCATTTTTTTGATGAAGCAAATTAAAAGCTAAAATAAGACCGCTGTATATTCTGTACAGAACTCAACTGGCAACTAAATTGAGATTGTTACTGAATTGCACAATAACCAAATAAACTGTTTACTTACTACATTATTCCTTCTGTCTCCATGTAGCCCCAACCGAAAAATCTCAAGCACAGCTTTTGGAAGGTAAGACACTCAAGCTTGTTCTGTGTACTTTGAAATCATTTGTGACCAGAATTCATGCTGATGTCACGGGTTCATGCTAAGAATGAATCCCTCAAAGGAAACCAAATAGGGTGCGCAGAAGAGACGCTTTAGGTGGGAAGGAAGTGTGGGGGAGGGGAGGAGGTTTGACATGGTTGAGGTTGGAAGCAGCTGCATCAGAAGAAATGCAACTTCTTCTCCCTGATTTTTCTCACTTAAGGTTAGGATTCCCCCTTCTCTCTTCCCTCCCTAGTCAAGTAGCACATTTAATTCTGAGTTAGCTTAAAAAACAGAAGTCAAACCCCTGTTTACCGGGTTGGCTGACTTATTTCTATGCAGCCTTATTCCACGCTCTTTACAGTTTAATGTAGTTCTTTGTCAGCAACTAAGGTCTAATTCTGTAAGGTCTCAATTGAGAGACTCTCTCAGCACCTCCTGGCATGAATTAACTACCCACCCATGTGGAGGAGAGACTGTATAGGTGTGGCATTGCACATGAGTGGGAAGCTAAGCTAACTGAATTCCAAGTTAGTGTCATGTTGCTGAAAGTGTTGTAATAAAATCTGTTCTGTCTGGAGGCCAACATAGCTACTTGGGTGCTGGATTTAGGAAGAATATCATTTCCCTGATTATAGAGCTGCAGCCTTCAATATTGCACAGGTGAGCAAACTCATCAGAGCCATTCTAGTCCGTACCAGGCTCTTGGAGTGGACAAGCTGGCCCAGTAGGTGAATCAGCAAGTTGTTCCCTTGTTAGGTGTTTGAAAAGATGCCATCCTGCGCTGCTTTTTTCTTATTTATTTTAACCTGTTTGCATCTTATGTCCCATCAGGCATTACTATTATTGCCTTCCTGACCTAGTTTTGTTGCCAGAGGGCAAAGGGAATTGCCCAGCTGTTTAAAAATGGTGGTCACACCAGATTCTGGTCCAAGTTAAGGCCAAGTACATGGACTTGTGGGGGGAGGAATGCAATACTCTTCCTGGATCTGGTCCAAGATATCTTAAAGCTGGCCCTTTTTGGGAAGCAATGACTATGTACATACCAGACAGTGGCATATCATCCCTCTCAAAGTTAAAGCATCATAATGTGGTGAGGAAAATCTGCAAACATGCAGCTTGTACGTAGCTTCCGAACAGGTAGTTTCAAACCTGTCTTAAGTATTCTTAATTCTTGCATATTGCAATGTCACACAGTGGAATCTTCTTGTTTTGTTTGTTTGTTTTTCTGTAAATAAAGAAAACTTTTGTGCCACTTGTTCTGCAAAACTGATAGGCTTCTGTGTAACTATGCCTATCAACATCACTTAGGTCTCACCTTCTCCCAGATTTGGCATCTAGCATATTAGTGAACATGATGTTACGTGCAATTTTGACTTAACATTTGCATCATGGAATAAACGTATTGGTTAAAATAGGACTACAAAGTTAAGTGTAATCAGACTCCTACATAGTTAAGTTACATTGAAGCCATTGCACAGATGTTAGCTGGGGACATTCAAGGTGCAAAGCCAGTCCACAAAGTAGGAAGACTTTTTTTTTTTTTTCCCCCTATGATGTAAAATAATCCTTCTAATCTTCCAGACAACTCTTCCACAACAGTAACTTCAGCAGCAGCAATGGCAGCACAGAGGACTTGTTCAGAGACAGCATAGACTCATGTGATAATGATATCACTGAAAAGGTGAGGAGCCTTCACATCATGATTGCTAGATTCAGCAGAGCTATTGTTGGTGCAGCCGGAGACATGTCTGTCTACCAGAAAGAGCCACCAGAGGTGGCTAGTAGATCTGGGCAAGTGACCTCAGTCAGGATCTCTAACGAAAAGTGAGTAATAATGGAATATCCCAAAGTTAACGTTCACTTCCTCTCCCAAAAGAAGTAGACGAGCCTAACCAAAAAGAGAACGAAAGTACAAGCTAAGAATTCTTTATTGAAATATGATAAAGTCTAAGCTTGATTAATATGTAAGCCTTTCACTGAGCAAGAAAATGAAAAAGCAACAATGGGTCTGATTCTCACTTCCACTAAATGCCTGGTCAAAACATAGCTTTTATATTGGTATTTCAGTTGCACATGAGGTTAGTTTTTATTTTTTTTAACTAAAATACTTATCCCAGTAAAATTCTTGCATGGGTACAGTCCTAGAGAACATAAAGGTGTTTTATGCCAGCATAGTTTATTCTCTTTTTTCCCGCCCCACAAGAATAGCTATGCCAGTACAACTGCGTCTGCCCTAAGCGGTTGTGCTGCTTTAACTACACCGGTATAGTGATAGTGGGACTACTTCTGTGTATAAACAAAGCCCTTAACAGTGCTCTGGCAGTGTAAATTGATATACCAATCAAGTCAGTATGAATGACATGTACATCCACTTATGGCCCCTCTGGGCTACCAGAGCAGCATAAAGAAGCGTTAATGTGAATGAGATTTGGGCCCATTGTGTCTGTCAATTCCATTCTTGAGGTAGCGGCTCATTTGCCGCAACTTAGCTCAGTTTCCCAACCTGAGGCCCAGTGGGCTTAAGTCTAAACTTTACATAAGCAAACCCAAGCTTTAGGTGCCTCGTTTTTGAGCCCAACTTCTGAGGCACCTTACAGGGGCTTGATTTTCAGGGAGGTGAGCACTCCCAAATCCAAACGCAGGCTCAAGGCATCTCAAGTTGGGCACTTAAAATTAGGACACTCTCTTGGCCTCTGTGACCTGCCCGAGCTGCAGCAGCAAGTCCGTGGCAAAGCTATGTATAGAGCCCAGGTTTTGCCTTCCAGCCTGGGGCCTGTCCCACTGCATCCCTTTCCCTCCAACAGGCTGACTCTACAAGGGCCCTTCAAGGGAGTCCTGTGAGAGTCACTTTGGTAGAAGCTAAGGCTGCCTGGCACCTTGGAGGATTCACTCTCATAAGCACTAAATCTCATTGCACTACGTTGTGGCAAGAAGCTGAGGGTTGTTCATGCAAATGAAGTAATGACCGCCTGTCTATTACAGTGATGCTAAGTAGCTTAATTTCTCTCTGTATTTAATGCCGGTAAATATGCACTTCTAAGTGTCAACTCATTGTGCTTTTGCATTGATAGGTTTTGGGGGACATGAACTTAAGGGAAGATCAGAACGAGATGCACTCCTGCTCTCTTGGAAACGTAGACCCTTGTATTAAGTTTTGCCTTTGGCATCCAAGTGCAGCTTTGCCCCCTGTTGTGGTTTAGATGTAAGAGGTTGGGTGGGTGTGACAGAGACTCAAATCCTCTTCTCTTTCTAGGTCACTTCTTTAGAAAAAAAGGTGACAGAACTGGAGAATGATAACGTGACAAATGGAGACCTGAAGAGCAAATTGAAACAGGAGAACACGCAGCTAGTTCACAGGTAATAAAACATGCAGCCTTCTTCCTCTGTGCCGTGTCATTGCAATACCTTCAGGAGCAGAGCTATAATGAGACTAGAAGGAAAGTGGAAATCCAATATTGGGTCCCAGCTGCTTAGATAGAATGAAGTGTGAACTTTTGTGCGTGTCACTGTCATACACGGAGCAAGTGTCCTCAAAGCTTTTCATCTGGGAAGCCCACAAAATGGAACTGCACAGCCTTGCTGCATATGCAATGAATTGTGTCCTTTAAGCAAGCTTAGCAATGTAGTGGTTATGGTCCTGCCAAGCAGAGTATCTGACTTGCTTGCAGCTGGCTGTCTAGGGAGAGTCATCTCACATCATGTTATGAAGGGGATGCCCCCATGTCTTTTATGGTATACATACTCACAGCAGAAAACTGGCCTACATTCAGAGAGAGAACCCAGCATGTTAATACAGAGAATGGCCATAATAGAGAAATAGATGTTCCTTAACTTTGGCTGCTGGGAAGTATGCATGCAAAGATCTAAGTGGTAAATCAGTATAGAATAAAAGAGAAGTGTGTGTATTTGATACTCTTGAACGTGGTGTGTGGGCAAGTGTTTTAAACTGTTACCAAAATGACTGACTTTCCTAGAGTTCATGAACTAGAAGAACTGTTGAAAGACCAGGAGACATCAGCTGAACAAACACTAGAAGAAGAAATAAAAAGGCATAGAGAAGCATACAGCAAGTATGAAAAAGAAAAGGGCACTGAAATTGAACTGCTAAATACAAGGTAAAAACATACCAGCTGGCAAGTCGGGATGATGTGTTGTCTAGATCCACATAGAAGCAGAAGATATAATGACTGTTTTCCTCATGTGTTCTTTTTGTAATCCACTTTTTCCATTAGTTTGTGAACCTAGATTGTATGTTGCCTTGTGTGCAGATGGTTACGGGTTAGATACTTAAAATAATTGAAGAGTCACTTAGTTGTGTAATACCCAAAAGCATGTTAGGTTCTTTGTGTAAGAAGGATCCCTGCCCTGAAGAACTAACCGAATTCTCCCAGCTGATCCCTGTTCAGAGCCCCCTTGGCAGAGGTCTGCCCATGCAGAACAACTTGATAGACACTATACATACCCCAAAAGGATGGGAGAATGGAATACACTTGGCTTTTCCCCTGAGTTGAGATTTGTTGAGTCCCTGCTCAAGTTGCATTGTGGCAGTGTCTCTTGTGGCATAAGAACGATTGTGTCATGTAAATGTACGTCACTAATGGCTTTCTGGGCACCTACCATCACTCAAGTCAAACAGGAAAATAATTACCCTCACGCTGCTGACACAACAACCCAACTGCAGTCAGCTACCAGATGTTCTCCCAGATGTACATTTAGCCAAGGGCCTTGCACTGGGCTCTGAAGGATGCCAAGCTGTGGCCCTGGCATACGGTGAGGAAGCAAAATCTGTAAGAGAGAGCCTCCTATGGGCATGCCCAAGAAACCTATAAAGCACAATCAACCATAAAACTAGAACTCCGGCCAAGGGCGCTCTTCTTGTTGCCCCTACATAGACACAGGTATCTATTTTATCCCTATCTTCAACCAGGACGGGAAGGATGTGAGATTGATTCTCTGCTGTCTTGGTCCTTGGGAAGCTACCTACACCTGTGCAGAATGGGTGTAAAAAGCTACTAGAATGCTGTTAAATTACTGCCCAAGGTTCGGGGTGGCAAGTCAGGCCCTGCATGTTTTGTCTTTGTGCAAGAGATGCCCAGTAGAAGCTTAGAAGACAGTAAAAGTTCAGTTGCCTTTTATTACTGGCTTCGTATATTGACATGAGTCAGGGCTTTCTCAGCAACAATGTAATGTAGAAGTCCACACAAGCAGCTTAAATAAGTAGGTATTTGGCTTTCTAAAATTAGCGATTCAAGGAAGGAACTGGGACCAACTGTATCGGGAACTTCTCTGTGGCCTGGTTCCTTTCTATTAGGTTCTATTCAGGGTCTTATGCCATGCCCACCCCCCTCACATCCAAATGTCCATGTGGATCTTTGGCCACTTAAACAAAGTCAGTGATTGTGCTGAAAACCACTAGGAGAAGTCTTTTTTTTTTTTTTGTCTTTAAACACCTACATTCAATAAAGAGACCAGATGAATGGGATTTTTGGGGAGCGTGTTTCTCTCAATCCCTCACGCTTTCCCTGCCGATTGTGTTTACTGTAAGTCTCGCTGTCTTTATACAGGGTTCAACAGCTTGAAGAAGAAAATGGTGAACTCAAAACCACCGTCACACGACTGAAATCACAAACTGAGAAACTAGATGAGGTAATTAAACTTCTGAGTGCTGACCATATCTGTGTAGTGAGTGACTGCTAGTCAGCTGTGTGGTTGATGTGAGGGCAAAAAAATTAGTCACTAAACGATAGGGTTTTTTAATTGACAATCCCCAAAATAAGAGAAAAATAATATAAATGGATTTGGGAGACACTTAACACACCTAAAGGAATATTTCTGAGGCGAACTTCAAAAGTGACTGGCTTTTATAGTCCTGTCCAAGGCCCATTGAAATGAATGGGTGTCTTTCTGTTGACTTCATTAGGCATTAGATCAGGGGCATAGTGAGTTTTCCTTTCAGCATGGTAAATGAATTGCGTTCTCCTAAACTAGTTTGAAAACTGAAGGGTTTTGCAAGAAGAATGATGGCAGGGGATGAGGAGAGTTATCTGTCTTCAAATGGCAAGTTTGTGTTGTGTGTTTTATGCTTTGAGAAATTATCTCCCTAAACTATACAGAAATATCCCACTTCTCTGGCTCTCTGCAGAGAAATGGCCAGATGGAAGAGTTCTGGAATATTCACTGACCGATAAAATACCTGTTTTTTGTTATCCTTGGAGACTGCTTGTTTATATAGTGGCCCCGATCCTGCTAAGTGCTAGTACATTCAGAACTTCCATTGACTGAATACAGCTCTGCATGCAGATAGCTGAAAGGATCGAGCTCCGGGAGATTAAGCTTCTGGTTCCAGCATAGCACTAGAGTAGCTGCACCCATGCTGATGAATGGTATTGGCCGATTAGCATGGTGTAAAACAATGACATGGAAACATGATGGGCTGGGGAAGTCCAACTTGGCTGTCAAGTTCCTGGTTTGTTTCAGGAGAGGCAACGCATGTCGGATAGGTTAGAAGACACCAGTTTGCGGCTGAAGGATGAGATGGACTTGTACAAAAGGATGATGGACAAGCTGCGACAGAACAGACTTGAATTTAACAAGGAGAGGGAAGCTACTCAGGAGGTGAGTATGAACAGAGGTGCAGAGCCCGCTCCAGCAGCCCTTCCTTGCAAGAGTGAGTAAAACAACAGGTGCACTGTCATGTGCAAGGGCGGCCACAGCAGGACCTGGGGATAATGTTGTCGATGTGGCAATTCCCCTAGTGGCACTTATTGTTTAACCCTGACTTGTATTGCAGGAGTGCCTAGAGGCCTTGAGCAGGTTGGCAGCCCCATTGTGCTAGGCACTGTACAAACACGTAGTGACAGTCCCTGCCACAACTGTAAACTTTGGAGCTGCTCTCTCATGATCTCCATGCCTCTGAATGTGTGCAGCTAGGAAGGTATCTTTCAAGCTTCCTTAGATACCCTTGCACTTCATAAACTGGCTGTGTGATCAGCACTTCCGAAGATCGGGTGTTGAGGGGCTGGCTGTGTTGCAGAAGTGCCCAGCTGCTCCGATCTGGATCAGAGCCACACTGCACCAGTTATCCTGCAAACACCTAAGCAGTCCCTGCCCTGAAGAGCTAATCAGTTCGTGTGCAGGTGGTCAGTCGCTGTTTATTGAAATGGACCATCCTGTCTTCATCTCCTTGCAGCTCATTGAGGACTTGCGAAAGGAACTGGAGCATTTGCAACTGTACAAACTAGATTGCGAGCGCCCCGGCCGGGGGAGAAGCTCCTCGTCTAGTGTGAGTGAATTCAACGCACGAACGAGGGAAGTGGAAATGGAGCATGAAATTAAACGGCTAAAGCAGGTGAGCGGGGTGGGGGCCTCCAGGCCTCTCCTGTTCGTGGGGGTGATGTTTGGATAATCGTGCAGAGATGCTGGAGAAATATCTCGAATTGTAACTTTTATCAACAAACTCCCAAGAGAGACTTTCATTGGCCTGAAATGGATCTTTATAGTGTTTGCATTTGTTAAGACTTCCCAAGCTCTGTTTGGTTTTTGAAAGGATTGTAAATACAGCCTGCATAGTGCAAGAGGCGTGTTCATGCATTTGTGTGTGTCTCCTATGCAATGACTCACATGGGTTCACCGTGAGATCCAAACTGGAGACTTTCAGATCCATAGGCCATGTCACTTTGCTAAGGAAGTAACTGTTAGCTGGCATCAGTAGTAGGCTGCTGTCCTTTATATCAGTGGTCCCCAAACTTTTCATGGTCCTGCCCCAGGACCAGGAGTGGGGCTGTGGCTGCTAGGGAGGGGGGCCAAGGCTGGAGGCAGGTCTGGGGCTGGAGCGAGAACAGAACCACGGCCAGGGGCCGAGGTGGGGCTGGGGCCAGGGCCGGGAGCAGAGCTGCAGCCGGGAGCAAAGGCTGGGGCCGGAGAAGCCGGCCGGAGCTGGACCGCATTCGGGGGCCAGGAACAGAGCCGCAGCTGAGAGCTGGGGGCAGGGCCGGAGCAGAGCTGGGGGCGGAGTGGGGCAGGGTGGTTCTCCCTCTTTCCACCTCTCGGGGGCTGGCCTGGGCCCTGCTGTGGGGGGAGGGAGGGATGTGCCCCACAGTTTGGGGACCCCGGCGCTATATGGACTGGACATTAAAAGCAATCCATGCACAAGTAAATGTGGTATCTGTGCACACAGAAAGTTTTGTCAACTTGGCCACTGTAACTATGCTGGTTCTGGCCGGACCCAACTGAGAGTGCCAATTCAGGACAAATCGCTTAAACAGGGAAGTTACAGCCCAAGGCTGGGGTTTTTCCACCTCGAAGGCAAACCAAACCAGCCAGACAAAGAGGACTTTGGTCTCACCCCACTGGCTAACCACAAGTCACACAAGCAATTCCCTTAGACACTCCAGTTTCCCAGTATCACCACCAGTGCCACTTGTTATGGGGACAAATGGTTATGAAAACCAATACCCCAGTAAAAGAAAAAAAGTTCTCTTGATCCCAAAGGACCAAGCCCCAGACCCAGGTCAATATACAAATCAGATCTTACCCACAAATCACACTGTTGCCAATCCTTTAGAATCTAAAATCTAAAGGTTTATTCATAAAAGGAAAAAGAAGTAGATGAGAGCTAGAATTGGTTAAATGGAATCAATTACATACAGTAATGGCAAAGTTCTTGGTTTAGGCTTGTAGCAGTGATGAAATAAACTGCAGGTTCAAAATCAAGTCTCTGGAGTACATCCACAGCTGGGATGGGTCATTCAGTCCTTTGTGTAGAGCTTCCATTTGTAGCAAAGTCCCTCCAGAGGTAAGAAGCAGGATTGAAGACAAGATGTAGATGAGGCATCAGCCTTTTATAGTCTTTTCCAGGTGTAAGAACACCTCTTTGTCCTTACTGTGGAAAATTACAGCAAAATGGAGTCTGGAGTCACATGGGCCAGTCCCTGCAAACTTTGCTGAGTTGCAAGGCGTATCTGTCTTCTCTCAATGGGTCAATTGTATAGCTGATGGTCCTTAATGGGCCATCAGGCAGGCTAGGCAGAGCTAACACCAACTTGTCTGGGATGTCTCCCAGAAGCATAGCATAAGTTTGAAATACAGACAGTCTAGAGCCAATATTCACAACTTCAACTACAAAATTGATACACACATATAGACAGCATAATTATAACCAGCAAACCATAACCTTGTCTTAGACACCTCATTTGACCCCCTTTATACAAGATTTGGTGCCACTACAGGACTTTGGTTGCAACCATGTTCTATATGGTCCCAGATTATGTCAATAACGTCACAGCCACACAAAATAATAAAAGCATATTGGAGATTAAAGTTGGGGCACTTTTGTCTGTCTGTATTTTTCTCCCCACTATGACTAAGCTCTAGGGGTCATCAGAAGAAGTCTGACTGGAGTCTAGTTGCTTGAAGACTGACCCCAAAATTGGAATGTTTACAGTAATATAATCATATTTGAAGGCACAGATGAAGATAGGGCTGATTGTTCAGCCACTTAGTACAGAAAATGGAAAACTAAGGCCTGGTCCCCACTAACCCCCCACTTCGAACTAAGATACGCAACTTCAGCTACGTTAGTAACGTAGCTGAAGTCGAAGTACCTTAGTTCGAACTTACCGCGGGTCCAGACATGGCAGGCAGGCTCCCCCATCGACTCCGCATACTCCTCTCGCGGAGCAGGAGTACCGGCGTCGACGGCGAGCACTTCCGGGATCGATCCGGGATTGATTTATTGCGTCTAGACAAGACGTGATAAATCGATCCCAGAAGATCGATTGCTTACCGCCGGACTCGGAGGTAAGTATAGACGTACCCTAAGTGAAGATACACATGGTTGGGTTGTTTTGTTTTGTTAAGCTTATCACGCTTGGCACGGAAGCTGATCCACAGCTGGGATCAGTAGGCAACGTCTTCTGTGAAGGCCCTGTAACATTCCACAATTAGGTGGAATTATTGTGTGGAATTTAGGTCTTTCTCTGACACCCTCCAGTGTTTGGCCATTCTTACAGGTACCATTGTAAAGGACATATCTTAGAAAAGTGGATAATGACATGCAAAACAAAAGTGACGTTCACTTTCATGTTACCTGAGCGGTTTTTCTTTCTTTTCATGAAAACTCCATTCCATTTTCTTTCCTATTTTAATAGGAGAATCAGAAACTTCGTGACCAGAATGATGACCTTAATGGACAGATCCTAAGTCTTAGTCTTTATGAAGCTAAGAATCTCTTTGCAACACAGACAAAAGCCCAATCACTGGCTGCTGAAATCGACTCTGCATCAAGAGATGAGGTAATGCAACTGAGAGCAAAACAATGCTAATCCCAAAATAGAAAAGTGAGAACAGATTAACTGTCAGGGTGAAAGTTCTTACACAGACAAATCTGCAGCATAACTCCTGTTGTGCCAGGAATTAGGAATGTAGCTAAATCTAGTGATATTTTCAGATGCTTATTTTAGCATCATCCAACTAGTTTCATTATAATCAAAATACTAGAGAAATTCCATCGTAACACAAGTTTGTTTCAAAGGACGGCAGTGTTGGATCTAAAGGGTATCTATTTAAGGCACTGACTGCTGTTATAGACACTGTTTCCTGTTTAGCAGGTGCCTTACGGTAGCTCATTTCTTCAAGTGCGGTTCCAGATTTTCTAATCTGATGTATTCCAGTGTCAAGCTGGAGTAACTCCATTAACTTCAGAGGAGTGACTTCGGATTTACTCCTGTATAACCAAGAGAGAATTTTGCTCATGCTTCAAACTGAATTTACACATTGGCTCCTCGTTTTCAGTTGGCACAGCTGGTGAAAACCCGGCACACCTCCAAGTTGCTAAGAAGCTCTAAACAACACTGCATACTTTAACTAACCAGTCCACACTTGTCCCTGTTACACCCATTCATCTCAATGGAGTTAATGCTAATACCAGGAGTTTGTGAATGCTGATAGCTCACCTTTCAAAAAGCAACTGGCTGAGGATTTGGCCCGCATGAATCCGTGTGACTCCATTGACTTTAATGGAGCTATATCGATTGAAGACCTCACCCTATTTTGGAGCCCAACCAAACAGAACTACTGAAAAGTTTCTGTGCACAAACCCATAATGTAGACACTTAATGAAGTAGCACTTAGCAAGATATTCTAGAGGAGCTCTTGCACTTGGGCAGGGGACCAGGTGAGATGATTTGAGAGGTTCTTTCAAGCCACAAGGGCTATGGACTTTGAAGGCAGTCAAAGGTAAAATGCAGGAAACTGATCTAAGTATTAGATGGATAGTTTCCCTTTTTGCTTTTATAAAAGTGAGTTGTGGTATAGAACTTGTACCCAACTAAGCGCTTGAATAGACCTGTTGACTTCAGGGGACCACTCCTGGGTTTAAAGTTAGGTGTGTGCTTACGTACCTTGCTGAACCAGGGCCCTGTGGAGACTGGTTGTGCGATGTCACTTAGTGGAATTTTTCTCGGGGCTAGTCTACACTAGAAGTACTACAGCGGTGCTGCTGGAGTGGGTCTGGTGAAGATGCTCTATGCCAACAGGAGAGAGCTCTCCCATCGGCAGAATAAATCCCCCTCTGTGAGAGGTGGTAGCTATGTCGGTGGGAGAAGCCCTCCCGCCGACATAGTGCTGTCCACACTGGCACTTACGTCGGTGTAACTGATGTTGCTCAGAGGGGGTGGTATATTCACACCCCTCAGCAACATAAGTGATACTGAAGTAGGTGGTGGTGTAGATCTGGCCTCAGAATCAGACAAACTACGTTTTTTGCTGTCACCAAAATAAGTCTTGTATCCAGTCTTTAATCTTACCAGGGCTAACGCAGAACTTCTGGATCACTATCTAATACTGAGTAGCATGCTGCCAAAGTGGTTCTGCTCGACTCCCCTGTCTCCCTGTTAATTGCTATGGTTCGTCAAATAATGCAGTTTTGATCGGGGGAGGAGGAGAAGAATCAGACACATTCTCTACAGAGATGAGCTCTAAGAGGCATATTTAAAAAAAAAAAAAAAAAAACTGGCTTGAGAGAATAAAGAGGGCGTATCTCAACGGGAATGCCAAACTACTGTTGTGTTGAATTATATATGATAAACCTATATTCCCGTCCAGCTGGAGACCTGGAGATGCTGGCCAAGATTTTCCAAAATGACTAGTGATTTTTGGGGAACTCCAATTTTTAGATGTAAATAGAGACTGATTTTTTTCAGAGGGCAGGTCCTTAGGACTTTTTCAAAAACTCATGCCTTAAATTGGGCACTGAATCACTGTCACTGGACAGCTTTGGCCGCTCTTTGTCGTCTCAGCATTCCTACCCACAACCTGCCCTGCTAATCTCTCGAGACAAGGCAGCTGAGCCTTCAGACCTTCTGCTCACTCACAATATCAGCCTGGGATTTTGCTTCTAGTCTAACCAAAAGAATCCACCTAGGCTGCCACAACAAACTCTTTGTTTCTGGTTTTCCTCCCCCCAAAAAGACGTATCTTGTGTCTTTGCTTGACAAACGTCCTGCTGTCACCATAACTTAGTGGACCATGTTTATTAAATTTCAGACCTGTTAAAAAAAAAAAATTCATCGTAATGTTTTTATCATAATAATTTTGGCCTGAGATTTTAAAGGCCACCTAATAGAACTGGATGCCCCAAAACCATTAATTTTAATGAGCACTGGGCATCCAAATCTCTTAGACAGCTTTGAAAATCTCAGCCTAAACGTACTGTGTATATAAAGATGCTCTCAGATCCTAAGAGCTTAGGTGAAAGTACAAAATATACATTTTCCCTGCACGTTAATATAGCACCAAAGGTGCATTATTTATGATTTCAAATAGATCCTTTTTTATTGGACAGGAAACTGTGGCCTCAAAACATTATATATGTTCGAATTCTCACACTATGTATTTACAGCATCTTTTTTTCTACAGATGTAGGAATGCTTAAAAAGGTTTCATTTAATGTACACTCTAAGATGAGGAAACAGACACGTACTCATTCAGGAGCAGGCAGTGTGGGCTTGTGAATAGAACACTGGGCTCTGGGTCGGGAGCCCTGGATTCTATTTACAGCTTTGCCCCTGACTCAAGTGACTTGCTCAGTGGTACTTAGGGGCATGTCTACACACACACAGCACTGCAACTACTCCGCTGCAGCGCATCTGGTGAAGACGCTCTCTGCCGACAGAGAGCTCTCCTGTTGGTATAATAAAACCACCTCTGCGAGCGGCAGAAGCTGTCAGCAGGAGAAGGTCTCCCGCCGGCACAGCGCTGTCTACACCAGCGCTCGTGTTGGCAGAATTTATGTCACCCCTGGATGAATATACCACCCCCCTGAGCGACATAAGTTACACAGACATAAGTGCCCGTGTTAGCTAACTGCATAATGGGGATACTTATCTACCTTTTTGTGTCTTCACTTTGCAATCTCTTGGGGTGAGGGGACAGCAGAGAATCATTAGAGGCAATGAGTAATTTTTTAATACAAAGGTGATCCGAGGCCAAGCCTTATCTAATTTTAATTTACACAGTGCTGTAGGTAGGAGTGACGTTTTGCATTAGATACTTAACTTGGGAATCTTTGTTTCAGCTCATGGAAGCTCTTAAAGAACAGGAGGAAATAAACTACAGATTGCGACAGTATATGGACAAGATTATTTTGGCCATCCTAGACCACAACCCATCTATCCTGGAAATAAAAAATTGAAGGACAAAAAAAGCAATTGCCTGATATTTCTGCACATGCCACTGGATCTAAACATCACTCTGATACTGTAAATGATTCTATATATATCTTATGTGTGAGTGTGGGTGCTTGGGTATGTTTATATGATGTCTGGTACACTTATCTGTGAGTCATCAAATTGGCTTGATTCATTTTTTTTCATGCACTTTCAATATCTGTGACAAGATCGCTACTGTATATTAATGTAATAACAATATAACTGGATCACGCTGTTTTAGCTACTGGACATAATGACTCTACCTCTGGTTGTAAGGGTGAAATACAATGGAAACATATGGATGTCTCCCCTCCCTTTAAGAACAAGAATTACTCTTTCATTCTTTCAAATGAATGAGGGTACTCCCAAAAATTCGACATATCCAGGTTTGATTCCTGACTGGTGCTGACTACATCACTCTCTATTGAATTTAGCTTTGCCAGAGCTTTACTACTGAAACCACAAAGAGGTAAAAATAAACCTTTGGCCAAACCTGTACCTTTTAAACAACGAATATCTGTATTTGGGGGGGAATCAAACTGCAGAATTGTTAATATCCATGTAAAAATACCATCCACTTGTTTGCCACTGTCAGCAAAAAGTGCTTTTAATATGAAGGCCACATATCCAACGTCAGGATGATTGCCAGTCTGTTGTCTAGTGTGTGCATGTGTATGTATTGTGCCTGGCTCCCTATAGCATTGAGGCATTGCAATGTATGCCCTTATTTTCAGGGGTTTATCACTGGGCCATTTTAAAATTAATTCTGGGATCCTACTCCTCTGCATTTTAAGGCTTCAACCAGGGAACACATTCTATTTCTTTTAAATGTTACTGACTGCATGCAAATCCACTTCATTATTTTAAAGAAAAACTTTAACTTAAACAATTAGCTTAATTCCCTTCCCCACCACCAAAGCACACTGTTGCACTCCTATGGGGAGGAGGGGGGGAATAAGAGAGACTGGTGGGGTCCTCCTACAGTTTTGCAGTTGGTTAATCCCTGATGTAAACTAATTTAACCTTTGAGCGGTTAAAAGTAGAAAGCACACTTAAGACACCAGTAACAGGTAATGTGAAACAGTGGGGTTGGGGGTGGAACACACTGCACAAGAGCTTGCATTCACCACCCAATTTACCCATCCCAAATACTACATCTCCTGTCTGAATACACACACGCACACATTCATATGCTCTGAATCGGGAAAGTACATAAGCACTTGCTTAGCTTTGAGCATATACTGTACTTAGATCCCATTGGCGTTAAGGATATGCTTAAAGTTAAGCACTTGCATAAGTGCGGTCCTGACTAGGGATGGGTTTAAACACCATTTATGTGCTTCCTGAATTGGGTCCATTTCTTGCAGAATTAAGACCTTTTAACTAAAAGTAAAATCAGCTAGAAGTTAAATGCTGTGAAATTTTATTCCAAGCACTAAACATTTGTTTAAAAAAAAAATGTTTAAAAAAATGTACACGCTTTAAACAAAAAGAAAAAAAAAAAAAAACGGGGCAGGGGAGGAAAAAAATCCACCCTTTGTTTCATACCAATTGGCACAAACAGGGAAACTCTCTGGTCCATTTCTCTGTAATCAAATATCTGGCTTTGCCTACATGCATAGAGAGGTTTTCTTGTGTGTTTTAACACACTCCTTGGAAATGGACTGTTGCAGTAGATAGGACTGATTTTCTGTATATACTTGCTGTTGGCAGTTTGTCTCACACCTACCATTGTCTTTATGTATTTTTGTTTGTGTATGTAATGCATTTTTTCCATAATCTGAATACCTAGAGCATGTATTGTTACTGATGTAAATATATATATATATTTTCTGCAGCTGCTGTACTCTTGCCTTCAGTGATATCTTATTGGAGTAACGGGCAGGTGTGGGGAAGCACTGAAAATGGGCTTTCCTGAAGGCAAGACAATAAAACCAATTCAGTTATTTATTTGAATCCATCAGTTGTTAAGCTCTAGGTAGGGCCATGGGACTGGAGGAGGGCTAATGATGAAAATTTAATTGTCCTTTCAGGCCTGGGTGAACCGTATAAGGGCTCATCTCTACTGGAAAAATGTCATTTTGGTGCTTAACATTAAACACTTAAGGATGGATTCTTAGCAGAGGAGATTAGGGAGCCACCTAAGCCACCCCTTTGCTCCCCTGATTTTGGAGCAGCCAGAGGGCAAAACTGAGTCCAGAGTAACTATGCTAAATTACACGGGCTTCGGCGGTCTTGCACTGGCCACCGTAGGAGATCAGGCAGAGTATCATCCCCTCCCCCACTCCTTGCTTCCCCTGTAAGGGGACTGATGGGGCGATTGAGGTTGAAACAGCTATGCCAGCTTAATTCCACCCAAGGATTTCTCTCTAGTGGAAGGATCCTTCGCTGTGCTTCAGCACTGAAGTTTCCACCTGCTTTGTGCTGCCTCTGAGTCTGTGCCATGGATCTGGCCCTCTGCCTAGAAGTGGACTATCCGGTGTTTAAAATCGTGTGAGCTGGCCATAATTAACCTTAAGATGTGATCTAGGTTTAGGTGGCCCTTGGGGTAAACTACAACCAGCAGACGCAATACTAGACCCAATGGTCCTTGTCAGTAAATGTGCTAAGGTGCGTTTTTACCATTCTAAAGCAATGAAATTTGCTGGTGTAGATGAAGCTACTCCTGTTTCAGATTGGAAACTGTTTCCTTATTTAAATATTAGGGGAAATACTCAGGTTTTCAAACATTTTTCTTTTAAATAAATTAAGTCCAACATTCAGAATTTTGTAGTATAACACTTTTAAAGCCTTTATTAGGGCAGGGCTAGTCAATTGGTGGTTTGAGTAAAGAGTGAATAAGGTCTTCAGGTTTTGGTTAATAGAAAATTATTAAATTGGATGTTTTAGAAGCTGAAAGGCTGATCCTGCTCGCATTGAACTCAACAGCAAAACTCCCCTGGAGTTCAATGGATGCAGGATTGGGCCGTACATAATTAGAGTCAAATTCACCCCTGTGCAGAGAATTTATGAGCGGTAAATAGTCTTTCACTTAAATTCTCACAATCGCATTTGAGCTACCTGTACACATAGGTCAATTTCTTGCTTATGGCTAGATTTTTAAAAGTGTTTGTTTAGCAGTTGAGTGGGGAGCTGCTGGGTGCTAAGAACTTGAAAATCTGTTCCTCAATCCATAGTGCTCTAAAACAGTTGCCTTAAATAGGTTTTGATTGCATAAAAGGCAATTACATTTCCACTCCTGAGGGGAATTACTTTATATGATAGTTGGTATATTTATTTTTAATGTTACCTTTTCTTTCTGAATGAAGAAATTTATTTTCTCTCAGGAGTCACTATTCTAAAAAACAAAGCTGTGGTTCAGGCAACTTAGGTCTAATATTAGATCTGCAGTAGCTAGTGACATGTGTAAGACCAAGTTGTCTTTTGCACACAAGCCTTGGGACAAAAGAGGTTTTTGCTATATATGATGCAATGTCACATCAGTAATGAGGAGTCATTACCTTGACAGAGACTTATGGGAACACAACCTGCTATTAACATCTGAACTTGGACACAGCAGAGACTCTGGCCCTGCAGAACAACTTTGGCAGAGTGGGGAGGAGAGAGCCAGTTGTAGCTCCCAGCTGGGCTGGCTTTCTGACTCCCCTCCCAACCATATAGCAGGGGAATCTCCAGCGGGGGAAATGCAAGCAGTTTCTGCTGCCTGCCTGGGACAGGACCTAGGATCTAGTCTGTATTTTACACACACTGCCTGAGCCTGCAAACACTCAAGCATGTGTGTAACCACTGGTATGACTATTCCCATTGAACTTGATGGAACTGTCACCAGAGGAAAGTCACTGATGTTGGCATCCATAGGACTGGGCCAATCCAGTCATCTGTGCCATATTTAGTTGAGCAACGATTTATCTTGCTGGATAGATCATTTCAAACTCAGATTAAAGTATTAATCAATCCAGTTTTTTAATGTTACAGTACCTCTACATTCTAATAATACCCCAATACAACGAACATTTCTATACTGAAATTGAGCTTTTTGACTCTGACAGCCTAAATTCTGTCCAAGATACCATATCTGTATGTATCTGCTCCTTACATGGAGAAGTTTTCTCTACTTCAGATCCTCAAGCTAAAGCAACATTGAGGTCAATCTAAATGCAAAGGGGCTTTTTTGTGCAATGGAAAAAGACAGTTTACTTCTTGCCAGAAGTCGCACTCAAATACTAAACACAGACTAGTGTGGGAAAAGCACGGTTTATTTATTTGTTTCAGAGTCACTGAAGTCAAGCCTCAAATCCTTTCTATCAGTAGTTACATGTTGAGGACCAGTTCTCCAGGTGATGCATATTTAGTTTTAATTTCAGTGGAGTGCCACAGATTTATACCAGCTGAGGTTCTGGCCAAGAAACTTTAACTTGCACTGACAAGGGAAGGAGAGAGAATGTTTCATATATTTGGAATCATTTCAG